CCCAAATTTTCATCAATGGACAAATAAATTGCGAAATATCCATCCAATTAAATATGATTTAACAATTCAAAGAAATAAAGCATCCAGATATGCTGCAATGTGAATGAACCTTGAAAACATTATGCTAAGTAAAATAAACCAGTCACTGGGACCATAGCTAGCTATGTACATTACCCTATATAAAATAACTAGAATAGGTAAATCTGTAGGGACAGAAAGCAGATTAGTGTTTACCAGAACAGTGTGGATAGAGAGGACTCGGGGTGATAGCTCAGGGCAGTGGGATTCTTTTGGGGAATAAAAAATGTTTAAAAACCATGGTAGTTGGGCAAGGTGGCGCACCTGCAATCCTAGCACTTGGGAGGCTGAGGCAGGGTGATTCCTGCAAGTTCAAGGTCAGCCTAGGCTACACAGTGCAGACTTTATCTCAAAAAAAAAAGAATACGCCCTACCAGATCATGCCCCCAGTGACCTGTGCCCTGTAACAAAACCCTGCCTCCTTTCAGCAGACTCATCTAGAGCTCATCAGTGAGTTAATCCACTGGGAAGTAGAGTGTCCGCAAATTCTAAGCACCTTCCCAAGCCCAAACTCTGCGTATGTATGTGAGACTTCGGGGGAAGTAATAATCTATATTATCTTCACTTTCTTTAACAAATGGAAGGAAGAAGTGAAGGAAGATAGGGAGTGAGGGAAAGAGACAAGAAGGGGAGAGGAGAGGAGGGGAGGGAAGGGAAGGGAAGGGGAAACATGCTAACACTAAGTTGGAGCCGAGGGTCAGCAGCGAGACAGAACTTGCATTAACTGCTCACCAAGCCAGGTTTGCATTGCCCTTGAGACATCTGAGACTTATCTGTTGCCTTCATCAGATCCTCAACCAAATCTCTGACTCAAAGCACAGTCCCAACTCCTAAAAAGAAGTAGTGGTTAAATGGTGACTATTCCCTTTATAGACAAGAAAAGCTTAGGGAACTTTTGTGAGGCCGGAGGGCGTATAGCCAGCACTGGAACTATGATTAGCAACTCTGGTTTCCTCACATTATTCTTCTCTTCTCCCTTTTAATATTTCCAAAGAATTTATTATTCCCATATCCTTGCTCTTTTTTATCTCAACTGAGGGAATTTAGAGAAAAAGAAACAAACACAATATACATTCCAAATATGACACATGATTTTTAGGCTACAATCTTCTAATCACAAGCAAAAAGTTTTACTTAATCAGAATTTTCTTTGGTTTGCAAGGACAATTTGAGTGGCTTCTCCTGGCCCAGATACCAGCAGAACCTGACACGAGGGAAAAGAAAGAGAATCTGAAACCTGATATAGGGCATGGAGAAAAAGAAGCTGAGGGGCAGTGTGTTTCCTCCAAGATGTGCTACAGAAAGTCCAAGTGTCTAAGAGACATTTCCTTCTCTCGGCTGGGTGCTCTGCTCAAGTTCAAAAGGACAAAGGCCCTGAAAAGTAAAAAAAAAAAAAAAAAAGACCCTTTATTTAAGAAGCTCGAAGGGGCAGTGTGTTTCCTCCAAGATGTGCTACAGAAAGTCCAAGTGTCTAAGAGACATTTCCTTCTCTCGGCTGGGTGCTCTGCTCAAGTTCAAAAGGACAAAGGCCCTGAAAAGTAAAAAAAAAAAAAAAAAGACCCTTTATTTAAGAAGCTCGAAGCCAGGTGTGGTGGTGTGGGCCTATAATCTCAGCACTGTGGATTGTGGGAGGCTGAGGATGAAGTTCAAACTCAGCCTGATCAGTCAGGGAGGCTGTCTCAAAATAAAAAGGGCTGGAATGTAGCTCAGAGACTAGGCCCTGGGTTTATCCAGTAACACACACACACACAAGTGCCTAGTTCACAATTAAACAAGGGAAGAATTTCAGTTGTCTCTGGTCATTCAGCCTAGCAGGCTTTGAGTCTGCCAGGGAGGAAATTGCACATGCTAGCCACGCACAGTTAGAGGAGAGATGGGAGAATAAAGCAGGGAATTGTCAGGTTAACTCCACCATTCCAATCACAGAGCACAGGCCCCAGCTGTGTGATGCCCACTTGGCCCTAGGCTGTTTGAGCAGATCCAGAGCCAGCAAGAGGCCCACGACCACTCTGCATTCATCTGGGGCTGCCAACCCCACACCGAGGCAGCAAGGAAAGAGCAGGATGACCAGGACTGGGGAAGCTGTGGTCCTCACTCACAAGTAAGCTTGGGACGTGCTCCCAAGCTGAGGAAGAATGCAGCTTCTCTGTGACCAGCAAAACGACTGCTTCTCCCTGCTTGGAACTAGTGTGGCACTCTGAAAGGGTCTCAGAGTTTTGCTCTATAAATAACCAAAGAACCTCATCCCCAGAGATAAGGAAATGCCAATATCACGGAGAGCAAGGGAAAGCGGCTCTGCTCCAAGCAAGGAAACCTGGAGAAAACTCTGGTGCCAAGTCAAGCAGAAGAAACTTAGCAGGTGTCTCCGTTGCCACACCCCTCACACACATCCTGGGAAACCTGGTGGATTCCAGTGATTATTAAGCCCCAGCTGAAAGCAGATTCAACCTCCGGATACAAAGTGCAGGATAAATCCGCTTACGAAGGAGTTTGTGAGACAATCTTCCTTGTTTGCTTTTTTTTTCCTCCCATCTTAGGAACTGAACCCTTGGACTTCACACTGAGCTCCATCTTCACACTCTTTCTCTCTTTCTTTCTTTCTCTCTTTCTTTCTTTCTTTCTTTCTTTCTTTCTTTCTTTCTTTCTTTCTTTCTTTCTTTCTCTCTATTTATCTTGACACAGGGTCCTGCTAAACTCTAAGTTGCCCAGGCTGAGCTCAAACTTGCAATTCTCCTGTCTCAGCTTCTCAAACTGCTGAGATTAAAGGCATAGATTTCCTGCACCAGCTAGGATGCCAGATTTTATATTAAGTATATTTTACCACAGTTGAACACAAAAAAAGGAAAGCTCGGTGTGGTGGTGCATGCTTGCAATCCCACCAAACAAACTAACAAAACACCAAAATATATATATTCACATTACTGTGCAACCTATTTCCAGGATTTTTCATCCTGCAAATCAAAAGCTCTAGGAGCTGGGGGTGTAGCTCAGTGGTAGAGCTCATGTGTGAGGCCCTGGGTTTGATCCTGAGCAGTGACAAAAAACAAACAGCAAAAGCCTGAAATTCCATGCACATTAAACAATTTCCCTTTTCCCCTTCCCTTGTCTCTGGCAACTACCACTGTACTTTTTGTTTCTATGAATTTGGCTTCTTTAGATAGCTTCTAAGTGAAATCGTACAATACTTGTGACTGGTTATTTCACTTCCCATCCTGTCCTCAGGACCAATAATATTTCATTATATATATATATGTATATATATCAAATATATATATATCAATTAGTCTATGTATTCAGAAAATCTATTTCTTTCCCTCAGGAGAAAAAATCTAATGGTACACAAGCTAGTGGGCATCATTTCACACCAAGAAAGACAGAAGCTTGACTATACATTGTCTGTGCTCCAGAAATAACAAGTGGACCAAGCTAAAGTTGAGCCCAATCCCATCAAGACACACCTCACTGTTGCTTTCCACCCTCACAGCACAAGTTCTGCCTGCTGTCTGTTCTCAGGTTCTGAAACAGGACCCGGCAAATAGTTGGCACTCTGTGAATCTCGGTTAGCTGAATGAACCTGGAAGAGTGATTGGTCATAGGGAGAAGACGCTGTATGATCTTGACTGCTCCGGCTCATGTGAACACACTATTCAAGAAAGCACCAATGAGCCGGGTGTGGTGGCACAAGCCTGTAATTCCCACACTCGAGAGGCTGAGGCAGGAGGACCGCTGACAGTTCAAGGCCAGCCTGGGCTACATAGCAAGACCCTGTGTCATCTCAAAAAAAAAAAGCACCAATATATACTGACATGGAAAAAAATCTCCAGGATCTATTGTAATTGAATTAAATTATAGATCAACATATGTACAGGATGACTCTTTTGACATAAAAAACCAATGCATAAATTGAAACAATAAGTATGTACGTATGTATATAAAAATACACCTAAATAATACGCTCATCTCAAATGGCCACGACCCTAACGGGAAAGGGAAACAACCAGACCCTTACAGTCAAGTCCAGATTCAGCCTCACGGAAACATCGAATATTTTATCAGTCACGGAAGAGCCTGAGGCAGATGAAATCAAAGTCCTTGCACAGAGGAAAGGAAATCAGGCTCACTGCCCACCTGGTAGCTAAGGGCGATTGACTTTGTTCTAGAACAGATGACCACAGTCACGTGTAAGGCTAGAACCTACCTGATCGCAGTGTTTCAAGACACTGACCTGGGTCTAAATCTCAGTTCTACTTTTCTCCCTCCGTTTCATTTTCCTCACCCGCAAACCGGGGAGGGAAGGGAGGTGATGACGCTTAGTCCTCCTGGGGTTGTTGTCAGGGTGAAAGAGGAACTGCAAACCCTTACCACCTGCCCAGCATGTCAGGCGTTACTCTAGGTGCATACGGCATCTAGTGTCCCCTTTAATATTGATAAACAATATTCTCCCATCTTTCCAGATGAGAAAGGCGAAGCGTCTAGGTAGACGAACTTGCCCGAGATCCAGGGCAGCCGCGGAGCTGGCGCGCGGATTCCGGCTCCGACTCTCCTCTCCGAGCCGGCCCGGCGCTCTGGCGTCCGGCGAGGCCCCGCACCCCGTCTGAGCGCGCTGCGCTGGGACCCGCGCGCCGGGCGGTGCACCGTGCGCAAGGCCACTGGAACGGCCGACTGGTAGCCAGTCTGGAGTCTGGCTGCCTTAGAAGAGACCGAGGCCCGACCCAGATCCCCTCCCTTCTCCCCTAAGTCCGCCCGCTCGCTCTCCCTGCAGCCCGGGGCCTCCTGCGAGTACCTGCGGTGCGCGGGTTACCTGAGCCCGCGCTGCCATCGCGGCGGGGGCCCCGCGTGGTCTGGACGCGCCCGGCCCGACTGCTCCCCCGCGGCCCGAGCGGAGCGCAGAGCCGAGCCCCCTGGGCGCCGCGGCCACCCACCTTCCCCATCGCCCAGGCCAGGCTTCCCGCTCCGACGCCGCCTCCTCGGGGGCCCCATTCCAGCTCCGGGAGCAGGGCCAGCAAGTCCTGCCCTTCTTGGTCGCCTGCTGCGGCCAAGACCTCAGGAGTGAAAATCAAGTTCGGGTGGAGAGCAGAGGACTGGAAAGCTGGTATTTCGTAAATCCCAGCTATTTTAGATCCTAGTTAGATATCTGTGCTCCTGGCCCCACCCACAGCCACTTGGGTCCCTGGGCTGCGAGGCGACCCGGTGTTGCCTAAATCCCTGTGTCCCTACCTGGAGGCCCTCCACCGTGGGCTGGGTTTTCATGCTTGATGTGCAAGTCCGGCTGCCAAAGCCTCCCTCGTCAGTGCTTTTGACTGTGGAGTCGGAAACCCCGGCTCCACCTCCACACGCTGCCTTTTACAGCTCTGTGGATCTGTCACAACACCTATTGGCCCCAGTTGCTCCTGAGCAGAAAGGCAGGTGAGCACTACCTCCCCATAGCGAGGCTCCAATGGGACGTTCCCTGTCACCACGGACCTGCTTCAAGAGATGTGTGCGGTTCTTGTTGCCTCCACACAGTGGGGTGAGAATGCCCAGGATCCAAGCTAACAGCGAAGCTTTTGCTGCTTTGAGCTACTACGCATGTCATACCCTTCTGGGCCTCAGTTTACCTATCTGAGAAAAATAACGAAAAAACTCACCTCGCTCAGAGAAGTTATATGAAACAAAGCAAATCATTCATTTTGTTCTATGTGTAAAGTATCATGCAGATACTTGTTATTGTTGGTTTTGGTTACGTTGCTGTGTGGTTTTGTTTTGTTTGAGACAGGGTCTTGCTATGTATTTCAGACGGGCCTTGAATTTACTATGCAGTTCAGACCGACCTCGAACTTGTCCCGATCCCCCTGTCTCAGCCTCCAGAATGCTGGGATTACAGACATAAGCCACTATGCCCAGCTCAAATGCTTTTGTTATTTCTGTTATGTTTGTGGGTTCCTCTGTCTAGGCGGCCTCAGTTAAGGTTGTGGTCTATGATTTTGAATGGATGCCAGCATGTGGGAGAGGTGACACAAAGCACCCGGTAAGGTGATGTTCACATTACCACAAGTGTTGAACAATACTAAGCATTCATCCCTGACAAGTGACTTAAAATCAGGGACACCTGCCCCTTTAGTCCAGCCTGAATGTTTGTCCAGTGAGCTCACATTTGCAGACATTGAACAGGATTTGTTCCCCCATTTCCCAGTGTGGTTTTAATGAGCATTTCCTTATTAGAAAATTGGGACATCTCCTTTGTGTGTTGGTGTTATGCTGTTTTCCCATTAACACATTGTCTCTTCTTTCTTCTGCTTGCTTAGCTCATCTCCCTCAAAGAATGCAAACATCTACAGGAGCAGAAGCCCTTCTCAGGCCTGTGAGTGGCTCCATACATCCTCTCTGTGAGTTTTCCTACAAACCTGGAGACTGGACTGCGCATCAGTCTACAGACCCACCAAGCAAACGGAACACCCACAACCTAAAATTCTAAAGATTCTCCACACACTGTGGTGACTGCCTTCTAGCTTAATCATTGTGCATGCCATTCAGTCATTGCACACGTCAGGATGGTCATGAGTTCTTTACAGATCCAGCCTCAAGCAGCCTGTGATTCCCAAGCTGGACCAGAACCACCCGAGGCTGCTCCACCACTCGACAAACCAGTTAATTCAAGAGACCAGGTGTCCAGGCAAGGAAGGCAACTTTATTTGAAAAGTGGACTCAATGAAAAGATGGAGGACTCTTGTCCAAAGTTCATCTTTCCAGGAAGCAGATTTAGGAATGGTTTATTTTTGCAACTGATGTCCATTCCCAGACTGGGCTTGCAGATGGGCCCAATGATGTACATCTGACCCTGACGGTCTAGTGGGATGCTCCTTTTCAGCTCTGTACATCTCAGGAACAAAGATCATTATTTCCTCAGGCTATGCTTATCACAGATTCAGTCACCCTTGCACAGACCAGAGGGTACAGCTTTCCTGAGGCCCCCTTCCTGACCACCAAACTGATGATAATGGAGAAAGCACTTCACTCAAAGATTTTATAGATGAAGTCTGGTCTCAATGCTCCACATCAGCACAGATTCCCAGGCCCTTACCCAACTTAGATGTCTTTATGGGGATTTTGAGGGTGGGCCCAGGAGCCTCTTTCACAGGCCCCTCAACTGATTGAAAAAAGATTGTCTATAAACAGCATGATGGTGCAGGCCTGTAATCCCAGCACCCGGGAGACTGAGGCAGGAGTATTGCCATGAGTTCAAGGCCAGCCTGGACTACATAGTGAGACCCTGTCTCAAAAACAAAGAAGAAAGTAAGAAATAATCAATCAATGAATGTCTTCTGGCTCCACAAAGTCTACCTTCCTGTTTCCTATATGTCTTGGTAGAGATGGAAAAGGGGAGGTGAAAAGTGGAGAGGGGAAAAGGAAGTAAAAATGATTAAGTTTCAATTATATGTAAGTACCAATTCCCCAAGGTGATGTAATTATTATCTATTGCATACACATACTAATACAAAAATTTTTGAAGTTAAGAAAAAAATCTTCTGGCTACAAATATACCTATGGCCAGGGTTAGGTATGAAATTTAAATTTTAGAATGTTCAGTACATAGTAGTTTAGTGTGCACTGATTCAGGCCAACAATTTTCTGAACAAAGCTATTAGGCATCATACTGGGCAGAAAAACAAAGATGAACAAGATATCCAGTCTTCAAGGAGTGCAGGTTCACAATATGAACAAACAAAATACAATGGAACCCAGGGCACCGCTGTTAACAGTTACCAATTTAGTGCTTTATTTTTTTCCTCTTTTTTATTTCTTATTTTTCCCTCTGCCATCCCTTTATTCCTCTTCCTTTTTTTCTCCTGTGTTTTCTTCTCCTTTGTCTGACCTCTCTTTTTACCCTGACGTTTTATGTTTTCAAGCCTTCTAATGTACTGTGTACACATCAGAAGTGTTTGCCTTCTGATCTAACATGATCGTAAGCCATTGCTCCATGTTTAAGGTCAAACTAGTGATTTAAAATGGAGAACAGCTGACTTTTCAACTGAAAATATGGGTGTGACAATTTTCTTTTCTTAATGTCTGAAGGTTTTAATAAGTCCCCAAAAAAGAGGCCACTAAGGAATGGTTTCTAATTTATGCACTCCACTCCAGGTAAAAACTGTTTCAGGGATGGCCAGGCATGGCGTGGTGGCACGTGCCTGTAATCCCAGTAGAAGGATTGCCATGAGTTCAGGGCAGCCTAGGCTATATATTGAGTTCAGGGACAGCCTCAACTACAAAGTGAGACCCTGGCTCAAAAAAAAAAAAAAATTGGGCCAGGGATTTAGCTCAGTGGTTTCGCTGCTTGCTGCGCAAGTGCAAGGACCCGAGTTCGATCCTTGGTACCAAAAAAAAAAAAAATTGTTTCAGGGCTGGATTTGGATTTGGTTTGGGGTTTTTTTCCTTTATTTGGATGGGGGGGCCGGTGCTTAGAGGGTTGCACAATAATACATCCTAGCCTTCCAGACAGCCCAAGAGAAATAAATGAGAAATACATTGCTCTATTGCTTTGCACCAACAAGAAAAAAGTCACCATGGAAAAGCTCTTGTCCAAATCATCATAGTTTATTGTATCGCTGGTTCATGGTTCTCACTTTTGGTCATCATTAGTTTCCTTTCAGAAGCATAAAGAAAACAAAATAAATGCAATTGCATTCTCAAAGATGTAATGGAAACTATGAAGCTTAGAAGGCATTACACAGGGAGGAAAATGTAAAATATGGATTCTTAAAGAAGTCAGATAAAAGTCTTGGTAAGGAGGGACAAAATTCAGCTCTCCCAATCCATTCCCACTTTTTGTTTTCATTTGTTCCTATTCAGACCTAAGGTGTTGACTGCATTCCATCCACTCTTTCTCTTAAACTGCTACATATCAAATTTCCTTTTGAGAAGAACCAGTGTGCTTTCTTTTTTTGAGACAGGGTCTCAATTTGTAGTTCAGCTGGCCTTGAGCTCACTACGTAGCCCAGGCTGCCCCAGAACTTGCAGTGATACTCCTGCCTCAGTCTCCTGAGTGCTGGGGATACAGGCCTAAACCACCAAGCCCAGCCACAGTGTACTGTCCTATACTGTCTTTTGCTTGCTTAATGACTCTTACTCCATGCTTCTGTAAGTGTATGCTCCAATTTTTCTTTTATTTGCTATGAAAACAAATAGTTGTCACATAAGGAAAGATTAAAGTAGCTATGATGGGATCAAGGATGTAGCTCTGTGATAAAGCACACTAGCTTAGTTTAGCAGGTGTGAGGCTCTGGATTTTATTTCCAGCACACACACACACACACACACACACACACACACACACACAAAATCACGTGTGAGAAGTTGGAAAAATAGGAACCTTCAAATAATTTTGGTAGCAGTTGAAAATATCATTTCAAGAGGCATTGCAGCAAGCTAGATATAAGACCTGTCCTTTTCATCACAATTCTAGTTCCAGAGTTTCATTACTTCAAAAACTAGACCACAATATGTCTGTGAGAGTCTACGTCATAACACTCCCGGTACTGCAGAAAAACTGCTAATAGTTCGGTCACCAGTGGATGTGTCAGTAAATAAATTGTGATGTGACTAATCCATGAGACACTGTGCAGTTTTAAAGGATAATTTACATCAGACTTGGCAGTACACAACTATAATCCCAGCAGTCTGGGTGGCTGCAGGAGGAGGATTGAAAGTTCAAGCCCCATCTGGGAAAGTTAGCAATATTTTTTTGGAGACAAGATCTCACTATGTAGTCCAGGCTGAACTTGAACTCATGAGATTATCCTGCCTCAGCCTACCAAGTTCTGGGATTACAAGCCTGTGCCACTGCACCAAACCAATTTTCAATTTAAAAAGATTCTGTCAAAAAAAATTTTTAAAGGGATGAAAATATAGGTTGGTGCAAAAGCCCTGGGTTCAATCCTCAGTGCTGAAAAAAAAAAAGAAACAGATTTTTAAAGGAATAAGTTAGATCTAAATGTACAGATACAGAAAAAAGAAAAATCACAGCTAGTACTATAAAAGTATGAATTTATTTATTTGTTTGGATTTTTTGTTTGTTTGTTTTGCACTGCTGAGGACTGGACTTGGGGCCTCATACATGGTAGGTGAGCGTTTTACCTT